AGATTTTGGTGCTTGCGCGAAAAACCCACAAAGTTTACGCGGATATTGGACCAACAGTCGGATTGATGAGCCGGGTGTTGTCTGTTTTAGACACCGGCGCGGGACCAAACCTTGTGCGAAAATCGGAACTCCCAGCTGGAATAGAATCTCTAGTGTCCTACGGACCGACCCAAGATATCTGCGACGCGAACAATAGGCCACTCGGGACTCTCGGCACAATTAGAATGCCTGTGAGGCTTGGAAAATTTGTGGCCGCAGCCAAGTTTATTGTATGCGAAAAACTAGCCGTCCCGCTAATTCTAGGCGCGGACTACTGTGACCGGTTTGTGGAAGCAATTTATCCAAGGAAGAAAACGGTTGAGTTGGCGGATTTCTCGGAGGTTCCGATAGTTAGGCGGTTCTCGACGATAAAAGGGAAGAAGAATCTCGTCGCGGGAGAGGACGAGAATGATGGAAAGGGGGAGCGAATTTCCCCTAAGGTAAAAGTGGCAAGAGCCACGACCATCGAGCCAGGGACGCAACGCGTCGTGGAATGCACCTCGAAGAGGGCGGGCTTGGTGGTGGTTCAGCCGTACTCGTCGTTGTACGAAAGGCACGGGTTGACGTGCACGAATGGTGTCGTTCAGGTTGAGCCTGACAGGCCATTTCGTTTACTCGTTGCGAATTTTAGGACGTACCCTGTCAGGGTGCAAAAAGGCAAAGTGGTGGCAGAATTATTACCGCACCTGAGAGCCACGCTCGAGAGCAAAACCACCATTGGTGAAGTTCTCGGAATTCAAGAAAGGAAGAACGAAAATTTTCCTAATTCCCCCAAGACGCCTACGGGCGAGACAAGAGGCCAACCGTCGGAGCAAGCGCGCGAGGACCAGCCAGAAGAACGGTCGGCAGGGATCTCCGCGTCGGCATCTACGAAGCCGCAACGCAGGATTGAGCCGCCACCGCCGGACGTGGAGGACCTCGACCTGAGCCAGGTGCCGGAACGGCTGCGCGAGCGGTTCCGTCGGATGTTGAAGAAGTATTCAAGGATGTGGGATGGGACGCTTGGCGAAATTAATACCACCGTCCATCGGATCGAGTTGATACCCTAGACTCGCCCCATCGCACAAGCCCCGTATCGGACCGGACCTAAAGCGCGCGAAGTAGAAGATGCAGAGGTGCAGAAGATGTTGGGGGCAGGAGTGATAGAACCAGCGCAGTCAAAATGGGCGTCGCCCGTGTTGCTGGTGCCAAAGCCGGATGGGTCAATGCGTTTTTGCGTAGACTACCGCAGGCTGAACGCAGTAACGGTGAAGGACACGTACCCCTTACCGCGCATGGATGAGTGCATGGACTCGCTTGGTGACACCAAGGTTTTCTCCGCGTTGGACGCGATCTCGGGATATTGGCAGATGCCTATCCCTGAGCGCGACCGCGACAAGACCGCATTTTCGTGTCACTCAGGACTGTATCGCTTCTCAAGAATGCCCTTCCGGCTAACCAACGCGTCAGCGACGTTCCAGAGAGCAATGGATATCCTGCTCTCTCCGTTCCGTTGGAAATGCTGTTTGGTGTATCTAGACGACATAATAATTTTTAGCAAGTAGTGGGAGGAGCACATCGTGCACGTGGATGAAATACTTTCCGTATTGGAAAAGGCAGGTGTCAAGCTCAAGCTTCGCAAGTGCGAATTTTTCGTGGAAAAGATCAAGTACCTGGGCCACGTCGTCCGCCCAGGTACGCTAGAAGTCGATGTCGCGCGCACCGCCGCGTTGGAACAAGTGCGGTACCCGCGAACACAGACACAGCTCAGGAGCTTCCTGGGACTCTGCAATGTCTACCGCAGGTTCGTTCCGCATTATGCGAAAATCGCGCGGCCTCTAAACCAACTACTGAAGAAAGGACAACCGGTCCAGTTGGAAGAATTCGACGAACCGTGCAAGAAAGCTTTTCATAAGGTCAAGGACGCCATCTTGGCACCGCCGGTGTTGGCGCGGCCGAAGAAGGACCTACCCTACTCCGTAGATACCGATGCAAGCGACTACCAAATAGGCGCTGCACTATTTCAAACACACCCGGATGCGCAACGCAAACCCATCGGGTTCCTTTCAAGAACGTTAGCCGCAGCCGAGAGAAACTATTCGGTATCAGAAAATGAATGTCTAGCGGTAATTTGGGCCGTACAGACCTTAAGACCATATCTATATGGCGAGCACTTCGTCGTGCATACCGACCATGCCTCATTGAGGTGGTTGATGAACGTAACCGACCCCAGCGGGAGATTAATCCGATGGAGGCTCCGCCTCTCGGAATTCGATTTTGAAATCAAGTACAAAAAGGGAAAGGCTAACAGCCAGGCGGACGCTTTGTCAAGGTTGCGAACCGCAGGAGAAACCGTCGACGAAATCGACGACGAAATCCCTTGCTTTATGGCCGAACCGGCCGAGGGTACAGTGGAGGACGAGGAAACTATTGACGCGGCAGACGACATCCTCGCTCTTGAGGGGGGGACCGCCCCTGATCGCCTCGATCAATTCCAAGCTGTCACTCCGGAGGAGCTCATTCGCAGGCAAGCCGTCGACCCCTTCTGCAACTGCATCAAGGAAGAAATGGACGCCGGAAAGGTGAGAACGTTCAGCACGGAGACCGAGGAACTCGAAGGAACTCTATGCCGTACCGCAGCAGAGTTTGTACAAGTGGTAATACCACAATCGTTAAGGGACCGCGTCCTAGGGTTGAGCCACTACGCAAAATTGGCAGGCCACCCGGGAGGCAGGAAACTTTACAAGACTTTGAGAAGATATTTTTATTGGCCTACGATGGCCCTAGACTGCTATGCAGTCGCGAAGAATTGCGCCGCATGTGCGCGGGAAAGGGTGAAGTTAAGAAAAAACACGAAGGAAATGAAGCTGTTCACGCCCAAAGCGCCGCTGGAATTTGTCGCCATCGACATCCTCGGCGAGCTAATTACAACTAAGCGAGGAAATCGGTATATTCTCGTGATCAGCGATCGATACTCGAAACTGGTACGGACCGTACCGTTGAAGAAGATATCAGCTGCGCACATCGAACAAGCCTTCGTTCACCATTGGGTATTCGTGTACGGACCGCCGGTCAAGCTGCTGTCCGACAATGGAACACAGTTCACGGCCCGGTTCTTTCAGAACGTCTGCCGAATTCTTGGCATACGCAATGTGTTCATGACTACGTACCACCCGCAAGCCAACGGCCAAGTTGAGAGATTTAACCGCACGCTGACTTCCGCGTTGCGAAAATACGTGGAGAGCATCCCAAGGACTGGGACTTATTTAGCGACGCTGTGACGTTCGCCTACAACACACAAGTTCATCGAACTACGAACATTGCACCCTTCGAGCTGGTGTTGGCTCGGGCGCCGAGAAACATTGCGTTACAAGCGCAACCAACTTTGGAGAACTTCAGCTCGTCACGAGCATACTACCTGAAATGGCAGTCGTGGTTGGAGAGCCTAATGCGAAGCGCCGATAGAAGTTTGCGAAAGGAACAAGCCCGGTACAAGCGAAATTTCGACGCACGCCTTCGCAAGCCGCAATACGAGATCCCACCGGGGTCCCACGTGTTCCTCCGGAAGGAGCAAGGCACGGCTAGCGAACCGAAACACAAGCTGACACAAGTCGCTACAGGACCTTATCAGGTCAGAAGATCGGACCAACATACGGTAGTCATTGCCATTGGCGATCAGGAGGAACGCGTATCGCAAGACAGGGTGGAATTAGCCCCAAGCCCAATGGACCATGCGCCAATAACTGGCCTACGTCAAGTGCTACAGTTCTTGGGAGAGCCGGAACTAAACGAAGAAGGAGAGGTACGGGAGGACGACGAACGTCCTCACACCCGTGCGCCTACGTCAGGGGACCAGGATAATTCAGTCGGTCAAACGCCGACAGCGGAGACACCTCCAGGTCTACGAGAGTTCGGAAAGTCCAGAGATGAGGATGAGCCGCTGGCTCTTCGGAAGGGGGAACGACAGTTGGACACGCAGGAAGAAGGAACTGAGAGTCAGGAGTATGTGATCGACAAGATCGTGGACCACGGCTACGACGGGGACAAATTAATTCTCAAGGTGGAATGGTACGGTTATACGCCCGAGGACGCGACGTGGGAGCCCATTGAGCAATTGCCCCGCAGCGCAGCGGTCACGTATTTCCGAAGGAAAAGATTATCCTTGCCCGCGCAGATCGCGCAAGCGCAATCAGGGTAGTAGTAACCAAGAATTTCACATGTCAGTGTCAGTGCGGTAATCCGCGCGGGGCATAGCGAGCCGACCTGAGGGTCGAGAAAAGGAGAATGATGAGATGGAACGAACCAGGTGAGGGGCCTTCAGACAGCCAACCCGCAAGTAGAAGCAGCGCGCGCACGAGTAGGATGAGCGTCGCGATGAGATACTCAGGTCGGAAGTCGCGTAACGATGTGCCAAGCGAGACAAGGACACTGGAAGACCGGGGACATGGACTGGACAATCCACCCTTTTTCACTCTTACCTTCATAACAGTTCGGTCTCGTTTTGTTTTATTTGTGATTGCTTTTGTGTTGTTTTATTTCGTTTTATTTTTGAGATGTTAGGGACACGACCCCGCACCGCGGAGGTCGGTCAGGAAGTCTATGAGGAGTCCAAGGAGGACATTGAAGAGGCGATAATCTTCGAGATCAATTCCGCCTTTGACAAGGTTACGGCCGACGCCCGCGTTGCGGCATTCTCGCCATTCAGGGCAAGGCCGAGGAGGAGCAAAGAGACGCACGAGATCATGACTCTACGACGGGTGTTCCTACGTCATAGATAGAGCCAGAAGGAGATGAGGCACTACGCACATTTGGAACACACACGCACAATCGCCGAATGCCCGTGAAATTACGAATGGGATCAGTGGCCCACAAGCGCGTGAAATGTAATTTATTTGAGGATTTAATGGGTGTCGAAAGCGAACTATTGAGCGAGCGGTATCAGAGCGAACGCCAGCCTTGTCAACTCGCTTCGAATGTGTTGATCAGGCTCGACAAGCCGTGAGACGGGCGTTTAACAAACGAGAGAATCCCCAAACAGGGACAATGTCCATGCCTACTTGAGATTGAGAAATCGCCAGAGGGGATGCCGTCCAAATGGGACGCCCCTGTTGGTCAGACGGTTGTGATCGACACACTTGCGAACACATTTAATCACGCGCGACCTACTTATGCGTTTATCAGGATAACCCCGCTTTCGTTTCTGTTTTGTTTACTTTTTCTTTTTTTTTGGTGTCGAGGAAACCCATACGCACATGCCGACGGTATGGCGAGTCGTCAGTAACAATTCGCATCGCGAAATGAAGCTGCGCCGGTCAAGGCGTAGGCCTGTTGTCAACCGACCAGCGAGGAAAGGTGGACGTTATCAATAACTTACAACAAAGAAAAAAAATGGATCCTCGATTGTAGTGACAAGATGGAACTTTGTTAGAATTTAGAAAGTAGCGAAAAGGAGAAGAGGAGGAAAAGGCAGGGCGACAAATGAAGGGGGAGCATGAGTTGTAATCGGTTGGAGAGAGGACGATGGTGAAGGAAAATGGGGACTCCCCACGATCAGGAGGACGAATCAGTGTCGAGATTTCGACTCGGACGCACGAGCCGTGCCATTCTGAGAAAGAAAGGGGAGGGCACTCGCCAAACAGGGAACGAAGATTCGCGTAGAAAGACAAGAAGGGAAACTCGCAAACGCCCGAGGAAGACGGAAGTGATAATCGATGAAGTACGCGAAGCGCCGTGACGAGAAAAGCCTCCACGCTTGTTTTCAGTGGGCACTCACGGTTCGGCCCTGTAGACCAAGAGGTACACAGGAGAAGGCTAGGGTTCTGTAATACGCGATCGCATGCCAAAAACGAGGATCGCATTCTGTGGTAATTGGTACCAAGGGCAACAGCCCTCCCCGAGACCGGATGCGTCTGTCGCATTTTTTTTATTGACGTACAGGGACTGGCGTTGTCAAGGAGACTATTGAATTTTTTCGATGGGGATCCCAGGGAAAACGTTGCGTAGGCGCGAGGAAGACTTAGGAGAATGTACACCGCCCAACCCTGTTCACTGTCGGTGATAAGGGTCGCCAAGGGCAGACTACTGTACTCCCTAAAGGATAAGCGGATGCGTCAGAATTGACGAACGGGTTACCTTCGGACCGAGGTAGAAGGTGTGGGAGATGGATGTGGCTGATCTACAGCTGCGAGAGACGAATGAGAGGGGGGTTCGGGTCGGTGAAAGCTAACTAAGCGAAGACGAGGACCTCGTCGTGATTACGTCAGAAAAATGGACGAGAGCCTCAGGCTGCGAAATGGAGGCGTACTCAAACGCTGTATGAGAAGGGCCGGCGAGCAGGAAAAAGAGGGATGGACCCTATGTGGAACTTCCGTGACGCGATGAAGGCAGACGGTGCTGCCGTAGGTGATAAGACGCCGAAGGTGATATGTCGAGGGGTATACGCAGGCGAAAGAGGTGCGTTGATACGACGTCGTACGCAAAGTCCCCAAAAGGGATTAGCAGCCCTGTGGCTCTGCCGGAGAGGGGAGAATGAAAAAAAATTGACGTCGAGGTTGAAGCAACCGTGCGGGCAGCTCGGAGAGGATCGCCGCGAGGAGCTCAGAGGATGGAGAGAGACAGAGAAATACTGTCGCCCGTGTAGTGGTCGACGACAAAACTGGAAGAGGACGCCTGCCGCGAATAAGAGGAGGAAAAATGGAGACCAAGGAGAGACCCCCGGGATCGAGGGGGGATCGAGGAAGGAGATATGGGAATGAGGCAATTAATGCGCACGGGCACGCGGGCGAGGCGAAGCGGGAGGAAGTGGTTGATGTGAGAGGCGACAAGCCCAGTAAAGTATGCAGATGTATATGGGATGTTTATTTGATGTCTATTAGATATTTTTGGATATATTTTGGATGGGTCCTGGATGTGTAGGAGATGCTGATCGGGTGACGGCCTGATACGTGCTTTAGGGACTGGATGTCCAAAGGATGCCTGAAAGATGATTAAATGCTGATTGGATGGTTTAAAGATTACTTTTAGATATTTATAGCATGAGGGCCACCACAAACTGCGTAGCTTTAAAGCATCTAAGAGGGGTCAGAGCATATTTGAGGCATCCATGAACCACAGCAAGCCCTACCGCTCCAAGCCTCAATTGCTAGTCGCGGCCTCTGCGATCACCCGCGCCTGTGGCTCGGCGGATCCCTCACAAATTACAGTTCTGCACCAGCTCGGCGACGCTCTGCATGCATTCGAGGAGTTGCAGTTCGTAGTCAACGAGATCAAGCCCAGCACTTTTACCTACACCGCGCGCGACCGAACCTCTGCCACCACCGGCGGCCAGCTCGATGCCGACACCCGCGTCCGTTTCTAGCACGAACAAGGTGCGCGTGCCATCTTTTCAGCTGTTGCCAGTGCCCTCATCAAGCTGCCGACCAGGATTGGTCCTCTTCGTCGTCGCGCCGTCGACTTGCTCACGGCCACGGGGAGCGCCACAGGCCCGGTCGTTGTCATGTAGGCTGCCAGCAATCTCCGCTCGCCTATACCAGCGCTGAAGAGGCTCACTTGGTCTGATTCGGACCACGGCAATTTTGAAGCGGTGTGCGCCATTATTACCTTGGCCGACGTTTCCAACAGCACTATCGCTGAAAGAGCGTGGCGAAAGACTAAGTCGATTTTTTGCTGGGTACTCGCGTCCGACAAAAATGCAAGCGCACTGATCTTGCCTACGCTATTGTCCAAATTGTCCAGTCCTTTCCGATGCATGCCCCACCAGACGATAGGCTGGTGGACGACCTGCTTTCTTTTGATCTTCAAACGCCTACGTCGAGAAAAGGGTGTGCTGGTGTGGGATGCGCCCTTTTAGCCTCCGTGGCAGCTCCGCATCTAGTTTCGAGGGGCGCCAAACCAACCGATGACGTGGTAAGTGCACGTTGACGCAGTTTGAGAACCGCCCCAACATCGACAGAGCGTGCAATGTGGGCTGTGTTCATGGCTCGCGCTCAAGTCACAGCTCGGCGGCCACCGTAGTGCCGACTTCTCAAATACAGAAACTTGTGAGGCGGGACATAGTTTCCAAAGAACCAGAAGGCATGATCAACAAGCTCACAACACTGACATGATAATGGATGAGGAAAACGTAAGCGTGGGGGTATCTGACGAGATATTAGAAGATGCATTGGTCCAAATAGCGAAAACCGCAGGGCTAGAGCAGGGTCTTGTGGACGCTTCAATGGCTGTTGCGAGCTTGCTGCGAATGTGGAGAATGGCATTACCGACTGGTGTTTCAAGGATTGTACCGCGAACTTCTGCCAGGTTGTTACCAGAAGTGTCATCAGTGTCCGGTGTTTCGGCCTTGGTAGACGCAATTTGGCTAGGTTTACTAAAGAAATTGGATCCATCATTGTCATCCTCAATCTTAGAAAAGCTTCTTCCTGGTCTCTCCGAAGAACCCGACTTGCGCCTCTCCGCTGCCCTGCATGTGTACAGCACATTGCTGCTCAAATACGGCCGTCAGAGCATGAAAGAAAATGGACTATCGCAGCAATACAGTTCTGTGTCGTCGACTCTTTTGAAACGGGCTCACGAAGTGTTGGATGTCTTTTCGCACTTCGTTCATATGGGCGGCGTGAGAACTATGTCAGCCATAGTGACGGCGCTACCGAGATATTGATCTCCGCTTTTAACGGCTGTTTTGCAGGAACTGCTAATAGCAGATTTAGCGATGACTACAAAACACTCTGAGGAAGCTGTTTTACGAACGTTTACGTGTTTGAAGTCTGTCGAAAAGGAGCTGTTTTCGATTTTGGGATACTCTGCCGCCCTTTCCGTTCTTATTGGGAAAGTATCATCTGGTGAGTGCAATGTCCTGGATGCATTATGGTGTCAATGGAAAATAGATAGCCTGGTGTTGCTACGGCCTCATCTTGCAACTCAGAAGCCTGCTTCTTGTGACACAATTTCGGATTGCATTCGACGGCGAGCTGGATGGGGCTCAGTTGCGGCCCAGGCTAGCTCAAAACAGAAGAGGCTGTTTCAGGGAAGCTCTCTTGAGGAGATGGTATCTCTTTGGAAGGAAGAACTAGGGTTCGCCGGGGAGAGGGCAGGGAGGGAGCTTGGAGCCGTTGGAGAGCAGTGAGAGAAGAGGCGGTTGGGATGGCGTGATGGAGGGGGGTGTTGGGGTGAGGGAGGGAGGAGCGGTGTGTTTCGGGAGATGAGATTAGAAACGGAAGTTTCTAAAGGCCTGGAAAAGAAGGCGTTTGATTGTGGGAGGGGCGGGCCAGAGCAGAGACGGAGGGCGGGATAAGGTGCATTGTGAAAGGGCGGTACGGTGGCGAAGCGGCCTTACGTGGGGGAAGCGGAGCGACTCTGATAGCTACGGAACTGTCTGGAGATAGCGGCTGGGCCATTCGAGCTACATCCTGCTAGTGGCCAGGGTCGGGGGAAGGTAAAATAAGTTGCCGGACACTTCCATCCTGGTGTCGATCGTGTCGACAACATCCGCATCTTGCTGCACGAGGTCCTGCATTTATGGCTCAGGATCCTCCAACCAAAAGGCGCCTGTCTCAAATGCAACCACAGCCACTCCATTGCATAATATTTACCCAATCAGGATGGTTAGATCCAGCATGAACTTCCAATACTGTAGCCTGGGTTGCCAAACTCAGGGCCGTTCATGCCCCGTCTCCTTCCACCCTAGTAGAAAAATCAAAACATTTTGGAGCGTAATTTGAGGGCAATTTGCTTATTGGTGCCATGTACTGTAGAGCACGTGACGCGCACTCACCTTGCCCAATGAAAGCGCAATATGAGTGCATGCCAGCCACCCTGGAATTACCCTCCGATCCGACATCCTAAACAGCATTGGAAACCCCGTTTTGGAACCAGCGTTTCGGGCCTGCACTTGTTCTCTTTTGCGTCCAATATGTATGTAAATGCAGTGCAATGCGAGCTCGGAGTGCTTCTTAACCGCTCCCATTTACATCGTTCTACTATCTGCATCACCGCCTACTATCTACATCACTGCACGCTACCAACCTCCAGACATCCTCCGCCCGAACCCGCCACCGACCTACACCGCTCGTCCCCAACATAATATTTGATGATAATGCATCATCGATGCCATCGCCTTCGCGGGCTCCCTCTGTTCGACAGTAGCATTCCCATGACGACATTCTTGTCTTCAGAAAACATAATGGCTCGTCGCAACGTCAAACTCAACGCACCCCTTCCCCCCGCTTCGGACCATGTCTTCCGGCGTGAGCAACACGCTGCGCCCATACCAATCGCAGTAAAAATCCAGATCCTCCTCGCTGCCTCGTGCCTTCTAGTTGTAGCACGCCAGTCGCCCGTACTTGTCGTCGGATCCACGCTTGGCTCGACGACATCTGGACCTTCCGACGCGTCTTGCATCGCTTCTCCGGTATCGCCCTCCGTTCTGACATCCTCGTTGGATGTCATCGGAATATGTAGAGTCGCGGTAGCATCGCAGACGTTGTCTGTGAAGGAATGATAGGGGCTACCGCCTTAGGTGCAGTCTTCAGTTCTTTTAAGTTGCACATCCGGTTGGTCCTCTGATTCTTTCGTCATCTGCACATCAGCATCATCAGCATCATCAGCATTGGAAGGATCTCTCTTCTGCCCATCTTCTTCCATATTTTGACTTTACATCACACGGGAGACGGAACCGTGTATCAACGAATCCTTTCAATATTTTCGGAGTAAAGTTTTCGTTCTACAACAAGTACTACTACCGAAAATCGCACTTTCACACTTTCCGGACGAGGAGCACACCTTCGCGAACAGTCAACATCAGTTGTTCTACACGCTTATCATTTCTCACGAACTGCGCAAACTCATGCAAACTTTGACGGACAGGATCGTTTTCTTCGTAAACAAGGGAGCATAACGCGTTACCAGCCATGATGAGGTCGTCCTCGTTGAGCAAGTTCAAAGCTGCTTCGTAATAATGCCTGTAGTTGGTCTTATCTGCATCCAAAAATACGATATCAAATTGCTCTCCAGTATGGACCATGTCGGTTACTGCCTTCCTCGCATCTGTCTCAAGCAGCTTCACTTTGTAGCCATTCTGGGCACTCTTAAAGCATTTTCGAGCAACAGCAGCTGCAGCGTTGTCTGCTTCAATCGTGACGACTTCTCCAATTGAAGGAATTCTATCTGCAAAAGCCAGTGCGGGGTATCCGGTGAATGTTCCAATGTCAAGAATCCTCTTGTCACTCTTACTTTGTGCGACCATCTTCAAAAATTGGCCTTCGATGGGACCTACCATGCACGGAGCGAAAAGTTTCGCCGCCTTTGTTTCGTTGGCAATGTTGACGAAGTCGGCTGTCGGAGGGGATGTCATGGCATTTGCATATTCTTCGGCGCCCGGGAAAAACAATGTGGAGTGTTCGAAAGCAGGGGGCTTAAGTGTATCACTCTTTGTTGCAGTTGAAAGCACGCTGTTTAAAGAAGATGATGTCTCACATTCATTGCGGCTAACTTGCTTCTCTGAGATCCACTGATTGTATGCTTCAATGTTGCTTTGTCCCTTTTCTCCGTTGCTCTCCGAGGGATCAGCGACTGAATTTTCAGACATTGCAGCATCAGTCGCTAAGCTCCCTTTAGGAACAGCATGGGCAGCATGTTGTTTAACAGTCGATGGATCCTCCAGACCGACATCTCGGCAGTGCGGCTCAATGCCGAAACCTTCCCTAGGGTATTTTTTCGCAATGTTCTGGTACTCAATCAACGTGCTTTCCATCCTTTCTCGCGTCAATGCGTTCAGGTATCCGCACTTTCCAATCGCACCGCGTGGTATCGGGGCACAATGGTTGCCGCCTCGCTTTTCCGTCATCTTCACCTGCGAAGACCAGAGGGAGTCTGGATTCTCAAGGATGTCATGCCGCAGTGAGAGTCCAACTGTACTCATCACCTTAAGAATCCGGTGAAACTCTCTCTCCGTAATCCACCCTTCTAAGAATGAAAGGTACGCGCCATAACCCATACCAATCGAAACTGCATGACCATGAAGGAGACCTGCTTGAAGTTCGAAACCGGGCGACCGGGTGTGCCCGTACGCGTGTGGACGGCACTGATGGGTCTCCCATAAGTTTCCGTACTCTGAGCGGACATAGCCGTCCATAGCTTTCGCGATGATTGATTCGCTGAGAACATCGATATCAGAACCACGGTCACATTGCTCCACTCCAAACTTGGTCTCCACCAGACGATTTCCGGCAGTCTCCAGCGCTGTGAAAAGAGTAGCGTCTTTAGTGACTGCCATCTTTATGATTTCGGCGATGCCATGACGAATCTATCCGGGCTCTAGCGTCTTGAAGAATTGTCGATCAGTTAGAGTAAGGATAGGGGGATGATACGCACTGAAAACATTCTTGTATCCCAACCCATCACAGCATGTCCGATGAGAAGGCCCAGCATCAATACCTGACACAATAGATGTGCACAACATTACGTAGGGAGTATTCCTGTGATAAAGAGCACAGGCGAATCCGCCAATATCAGCCATGAAACCACCGCCAACCACAAGGACCGGTTCATTCCGAGACACTCGCTTGCCCTTGAGATCAACCAGAATCATTTCAACTCCTTTTCAACGCCCGAATCCATCGCAATTCCCGGTACTGCTTTTGCTTCGATAATTGTGCCTATCTCTGCCTTCGATTTTCCTTCTGCGATGTCGTCCTCACGTGGTTCTTTCGCGGCGCCGTCATCAGCCGCAATTCTTAACAGACGCTTTTCTTTTGCGCCGGTATCCACGGCGGTCTTTGCGAGTCCATCAACGGAATCAGATTGAATAGCGGTTTCCACTTCAAATGCAGCTTGTACCGCCGCTTGATTACTGAAGAGATTGCTCTGTGTATCATTATCTGCCTCAGCCTCAGCCTCAGCCTCATCCGCCTTTTCTGCCGTCTGTCCAACGTCTCCCTTGGAATCAACTCTAGCTCCCTTGTCCCCGGGGTGGGCGGTGGCTTCTGCAACGTTTTCGCCCTCGCCGCTAGCCTTGTCTGTCTCATGCTCGTCAATATCAACCTCCCCCTCAGCCACATCCGCGGCGTCCGCATACGAGCTAGCGGCGTTATCCTCGCCATGGGCCCCATCTGACGGGGTGTGCAAGCCGTCCTCATGCTCTTCGGCATCCTCGTGCTCACTGTCCTCCTCGTGCACCTCCTCTTCCACCTCGGAGTCCTCCTCGTGCACCTCCTCTTCCACCTCGGAGTCCTCCTCCACATCCCCCATATCGCGTCTCTTCGTCTGTGGGGTTCCTTCGACACTTTCCGTCAAATCAATTGTATCTCCCCTCTTCCCATCCTCATGTTCACTCGCGCTGTTCGCGTCGTCCTCATCGACGTCTTCATCGACAACGTCGGCCACGTCATCGTCGTCGGCCTCGTCGAAGCTATCCTCCGTCCCGTCGACATCGATGGGGTCCTCTTTGCCCAGGATCGCGTCGGGGTCGCGATCGACGTCCGGAACGCGATGTGGCCCCGAGAGCGGCTGGGATGCGTGCGTGTGATCCGGGTCGGAGACGACGTCGACGTCGAGGGGGGCGCCACGGTCAAGCGAGACGTCCGCAGACACGCCCTTTACGTTGGAGACGACTTCGGGCGGGTGGAAGGATGCGGCTGTGATGGGAGTGATCGCGGGGTCCTCAGACGTATCCGCGTGGACATGCGGTGGTTCTTATGACACGAGGCTTTCGGTCGCAGTCGATTGCTCAACGTTGCCCTGCTCTGCGGCATCGGGCGGCGAGGCTTCTTGGTCGGGGACAGCTGCCTGTTCTGGCATGGCGTGAGGGGGTGGGAGACGGGAGCCGTGACTGTTGCGGTTTGAGAGGACGGCGGTTCCCAAAGGGAGTCTCTTGATCCATCCAAAAAAACATCAAAAACGGGGGAAATTTGAGAAGCGCAAAAGGACGTTTGAAGACAGGACAGCTCGGATACGTCTACGCATGTCCGACCCGATCACGTCTCCCAACTAAGGAGCGTGCCTGCGTGAGCTGTTCCTTTGCCAACACATTCTAGCCAAATGTCATGAACAATGCAAGATGTGCGGGCACTAATAAATTACCCCAGTGCCCGGAAGCTTTCTGTTTCATTCATTGCAGAAGGGCTTTTACGAATGCGCGCGGCTACCCACTTAAGCAGCAAGACTCTCCACTATCTACTCGACAAACTTCCTCCCTCAGCACTCCCGCAACCTCCTTAACAACGTCTTCCTCCCCCGTCCTTTCACACAGCACACACTCGAGCAGTCTCCGCGCCACGCTCGCGAACAATCTCTTCTTCCGTGCGCCCTCATGCAACAGGATCAAGCTCGTGAACAAGCTACACACAACCAGCAAGACGTCTCCCCAATCCACGCCGTACGAATCTTCCACATACCTCCTGACGACGCCCTGCGCCCTCCTCCACCTGGCCTCGACAAAAGCGTCGACGGGGACGGCGGCAAGGATGTGGTCGTATCCGGAGAGGCTCTGCACGACCTTTGCGACGTCGTACACGGCGTCTCCGGCGAGCGTGAGGGCATCTCCCTGTGCGCCCCGCATATCGATGAGGGCGATGCCGCCGTGCACGCGAGCGAGGACGTTGGTGGGGACGGGGTCGCCGTGGATGACGCGGGCAATCAACCGATCAGTTCTTTATTCATGAAGAAGAGGAGTTATTTGCCGCGACCCATAGTCATACAAAATGAATGACTGCGTAATGTACCATTCTACTTCTTGGTGTGACGACGAGGGCGTTTGAATGATGTCGTCGCCAGAGGTGCATTTCCTTTGTTATTTCGTTTGCGTTTATTACGCACTCGGACCGACGGCTGGACGTCCTGGAGATTATCGCCTCCATCCTCAAAAACCCCTTGACCAAGATCACCGTTTTCACGACACCCAAGGATCAACCCCGGAAGTCGGTTGTAGACACGTCTTGCGTTTTTACCCTTTGTGTTCGCGGTAGGGTGATGTACTTTAAGATGTGAATCTTCGTCGAAATGTCTATCACGGGATGTTCCTCGACCTGCCTTAACACGTTCACCATCATGGACCCGACTTCTTGAAGCATCTTCATGATGAATGTTATTACTATCAGTTCCTTGCTCGAATTATGTACTCCGTTGAACTCGGTCACCATGAGAATCACCTGGCACTGGTTCAGTCCTTAAGATGTGACGGTGGTCGTCGTCGCACTGCTGTGGACTCATGTTTCCTTGCTCCCTCTCACCGCCACACGAATCTGATGGCATTTTTGATTTCTTCTTCCCGTAGATTTTGTCACGACGCAGAACCTCTTGGATTATTGCATCGGCGGCCCACTGATTATGGGCAAGCTTCAGGTCTGGAATGCGCTTCTCGAGATTGTTTCGGAGCGTCGCCAAAGTCCCGGCGTGCTCATACTTTAGATCCTTGTAAGGAAACTTCCCCTTGGGTAACTCCATGCCGAACTTTCGGCTCCCATACAACACAAGACGAACCCGTTTGAAAGCACCACGGATCGTCGAATCTGACAAAAGCTGGAAATCGTCACCGCTTTTCTCCATGTAAGAGAGGTATGCGTTGTTGAACACCTCACGTATGGGTCGCTGCGACCCGATTGTTCCATTTTTCCCCACGCGACGCGCTTCTCTCCTGGATGGTTCCATGAGACATCCGTCTTCCTCTTTGGGTCCCTCCATTCTACTAAGAAAAAACAGCAGAATCGAAGTTATGAATTTACTTCACATGAATGATGACAGGAATGAAGGCAAGAAATCTGGATAAGCTGCTGTGGAGAAAGCATTTATGAAGTGTTTCGTTTCACTCGAAACGAAAGAAAAGCGCCCTCAATGGCATTTCCCGCTTTGATGAGGGATCAAAATTTGTTTCGTTTGGTTCTCATTATTCAGAATTCTCTACCCCAAATTATAGCCAATGCGTCTTCCCAAGTCCACAGTAGCTGTCATTTCGCCACCCTCCTTCCCCCTAACACGTAAGCCTTGTCTCTATTATGAATGAAAACGATTTTACCGGCCACTCGCCGAGAAGGTATCTCAAACGTAGACGGGAACAAGTGCTTGGCATCATTCGGACGCGCGGCGAATTGTATGTACGTTCCCGAAAAAGGAGATTGAAAGAGTGGAAACATGAGAAAGCTTCAATAGACGAATCTTCCTCACAGTCGAGTTTTGCACCACACTTTTCCGTGAATGAGAGCAGCACAGGAGAGATTGACGAATGGACTGAAGAGGTATGCGTGGAAGAGCATTCGCCAAGTGTCGAAGACTCGTCTGAGTGGATGATCAGTGAAGTGCCCGAAAGACAAATTGACAGGTACGATGAACTGCCGCTGTCTGAGATGGAGACGTCATCCCATGACTCAGAAAGCACCCGAACCGAACGTTTAGCTGATACAAATTGGAATTTAAAGGAGTCTGAATCCAAGGGAATTTTGGAACTTCTTCATGTTCTGGAATTGGGCCAAGCTTCCACCTGATGTATACGAAGTGCTTTGCAGACGTCAATTGTAAGGACACGGTTCTCATATGACGTGCTTATGAGACATATCAATAGAAGAGCGGATGTGCCTAAGCACCACGTCCCAATGTGTCCACGCGGACATTTCGCTGCGACTAGGTCTCAGTCTCGTAGAAATACATGTCCAAATGCCGATTGCAGACAGAGGATCGGATCAGCACGATTCTGGACGAGCAACGTCTCTGACTAACTAAAAGCTCTCTGCCGCGAGGAATATTCTTTCCTTCAGTTTCAGAAAGGATGTCAGGAAGCCCATTTAGCAATGAGTTTAGAACCGGTCGACATTTTTTCTGACTACTACGACGGCGCTTTGTTTCGCCGAATGTTTCGTAAGCGCTTAGGCACGTGGGATCTAGACGGTGAACTCTATGTTTTCATGGTCATGTCCACAGATGGTTTCGAACTTTGTGGTACAAGTGAAGGAAAAAGAACCTGTTGGCCTATCATCTTCAAGCTTCTGAATCTGAACTTCTCACATCGCGGCCAGGCTGCAAATGCTCTCGTCACCGGTTTTATTCCTGGTTCACATAATCCTGAGTTTTTCGAGAGCTTTTTAGTCTCAATTGTGGACGACCTCGTGAACCTGGAAAAAGGAATGGATGTGAAGTGTTGGGACGGCAGAACCCGGAAGCTCTTCGCATTCGTCCTTTTTATCACTGCGGACTTCCCCGCCGCAAGCAAGCTTTTCGGTTTTATGGGACACAGAGCAAAACTTTTCTGCCGGAATTGCCACAAAAAAGCCGTCTTTGTATGCGGCTCTCTGTACGCTGTCCCTGTCAGATCGGAGAGGTGCAGTAAAGAAGCTGTTGGAGGGAATGGCATATGGGAAGATCAGTGTTGGATAGAATTAGAATGCCCAGAACGGAGAACCTCTTCTGAAACGGCGTCCGTCTGGCGACAGGAAGACACGGTTCCGCGAGCTACGGGGATCAAGAAAAGACCCCTGATCGCGCGCCTTTCGTTGGATTTCGTTTTTTCCTTACCGTATGATCCTATGCATCTCTGTTTGTTGGGTTGGGTTCGGCACTTGGTGTTCCTGGTTATTGGCTCCCATAAGCGCCATCAAGATTTGCACACGTCCTACATCTTGACCACAAGTGAGATTGCTCTCGTTAATGTTGCACTGTCTCGCAACCACAGAGGAATTCCGCAATTTTGGGGCCGTCCACCAACAAGCTTGGGAAATCTTAACCATTTTCGAGCTGAAGATTTCAAAAACTTTGGACTTTACTTCGCCTCCATTGTGTGGCATTCAGCGGCGTTGGACAGAAGACAGCAGACATTGTGGCATCTAACTTCCAAGATGCTGACAATCGTTCAAGATGCGTCGCCGCGGAGAACGGATTCGATTCAGCTTCGCAAAATTGTACAGAAACTGCATGCACTCTTCACAACTGTGTTCCATGAAAGCAAGCGGCATTCATTTTGTTTCACCCCCACCACTCATGCCATACTACACCTCTAGGAAATTTTGAGAGAATGCGGTTCATTGCGAAGTGTCTCGCAGTTCTTCATGGAGCGCTTTGTTGGGGAGATGGGGGGAAGAGCAATGTCACGTAAGCATCCAGAGACGAACTTGTTCCACAAAAGCCATACCCTTCTGTGCCTGAAGTTGCTGTCTGGTGGAATCCATCAGGGTCGAACTCCGAACGGACCAGTCTCCTCTTTCTTCGAGACGCGAGCCAGTCATGCGGGTGTGGAGACAAAAAGTGCTGGTCGTCGCGACCAGGCC